TAAACAAGCAAGCTCTCCAAGGAAGACATACAAATGATCAAAAGGCACATGAAAAATGCTCAATATCACTAATTGTCAGAGAAATGCAAATCAAAACTACAAAAATGTTGAGATATGGAGAATAGATTGAGGATAACTAAATATAACACTACCTCAGTGGAGTCCAGGGAACAAAGAATAAATATTTTATTCTTTAATAAGAGAGGTAGTATTTGAAGAGGTATATTATCTTGGAATATTGTTGAACTGATAAAAGAAGTTAATTCACAGATTCAGGCAACACAATTCATATGAAAAAAAATAAGTATAAAGAAATCCCCATCTAGAAACAATATAATGAAATTGAGGACACTAAAGTCAAAGATCTCAAAAACAAAGACAGATCCTCAACAAAGGAATGACCTGGATTGACAACAGACATCTCAATCCTAAAAACATAAGAAAAAACAATGAATTTTCAACGTGATGAGAGAAAATAGCTATCAACCAAGAAATGCATATGCAGCAAAATTATCTTTAAGAATGAAAGTGAAAAAAGGTAATAAAAATTGCAAAAGTTTATAGCTGACTGGCCTTCATAAAAGAATACATAAATAACACACTTCAGGATGAAAAAAGAGAGTGGAGACTAAGCTCCAAGTGTAACTGGTAAATAATGAAATTGATTTTTTAAAAGTCTACAATTTTTTTTAAGTTCTTAAAATAATAATAATGTTTATTTGTGGGATTAAAAAAGAGAGAAACAAAACATCAGAGAATGGTATGTATCCAGGATCAGCAATTATTGGTTAATAAAGTCTCCAAAACATGGTGTTGGAAGTAATTAGGATATAAACTAACTTTAGGCTTTGTTAAGTTTAGCATGTAAAAATAAATCCGGCTGAGTTATGGGCTGAGTTGTGTCCCCCTAAATTCATATGTTGAAGTCCTAACCCCAGTAGCTTGGAATGTGACTGTATCTGGAGAGAGGATTTTAAAGAGATAATTTAAGATTAAATGAAGCCCACTCCAATGATTATAGTGACTATTGTTCTGATAAAGAGGAAATTTGTACACACACATCCACGTACACACACACACACCAGAGAAGACCACATGAAGGCATTGGGAGAAGACGGCCATCTACAAGCCACAGAAGAGGCCTCAGAAGAAACAACTCTGCAACACCCTGTTCTCAGACTTCCATCTCCAGAATTGTAGAAAATAAGTTTCCGTTGTTTAAGCCACTCAATTTATGGTACTTCATTATGTGAGCCCTAACAGACTAATACAAAGAGTAACCACCAAAGTAATAAAATATGGTTTACGATTTTCAAGCCAGAAGAGGATAAAATACAGAATAAAAAGAAAACAAACCAATTCAATCAAAGGCAAGAGAGAGGGGAAAATCACTTGATGTATATCACAGACATAAAGTACGAAGTAAAATGATATAAACCAGTTCAACTTCATTAACAACTACAATAAATTCATTAAATTAAAAGCAGAGACAGACTGAATTTAAAAACAACAAAATCCATCTACATTTGCTTCACAAAAGATATACATTAAAGCATAAGGATGCTGAAAGGGTAAAAGTAAACAAATGGCAAAAAACTTACTAGGCAAACACTAAATAAAGGAAAACTGGTGAACCTATATTAATATCTGACACATTGAACTTTATGACCAAAAACCATAGGCAGAATAAATAAGGTCACTACATAATGATTCCAGACTTAAAAACATCCAATAAAAGTCTCAAAACACATAAAGCAAAATTAATTAAAAAGTGAAACTGACAAATCTACCTTTTTATTGGGATGCATGAGGGAAAAAACAGATCAAGGACTAATTTCACTGGTAAAGAGGGTATTACCTTATTAATGACATTTAACCATCGTATTAACAGTCACCAAAAAAACTGACTCAAAATGATATGATTAGGTATACAGGGATGTGACTTAGAAGCTCAGAAGCAACTTAATAGCCTTTAGGATTTCAACTGCCATATTGAATTCTTCAACTGGTTGTGACATTCCTATCTACATTAAATCCAACCTTTGGATATTACCCACAATGACCAGCCAATGTAATTCTAATAGTCTTAGAGAAGTAAGACCTTGATCTCTTTACCCTAATCCCTCCACCCTGTCCCCATAACATAAAGGAGAAAGGTAAGTCCAGAAGCTTTCTGAAAGAAACAGTAAAATAGGACTTGCTCTCTTTCTCACCACTGGTCCTCAAACTAAGGGCATGCCTGAAATGGGGTTGAGAAGAGAGATTTACATCATTTATGAAATGAAAGTTACCATTTGGACTTGACTGGCCTTTATGTAATACTTAAAGCAAATCTTAATTAACAAAATGAGACTATTTTAATATTTGAAATAGAAAGCTATGGTAATCTGTTCAAGAGGTCAACAAGGCATGGAGAAGGAGATACAGCAGAGTATACCTTAAGTAATAAATTATTAATTTACTTAATAAAATGTTTTCATGTTCTTTGGTTATCTTATTAGTCAGTATGGGGACCTATCACAATTTTTTTTAATAAAAAGAATTACTTAGAAGAAAAACCTCACTGAGTTGAGAAGCTTGGGTTAAGTTCTAATCCTTTTAATTTTTTCCTACTCTATAAAATGAAGGGATTGATCAAAATGATCTAGTCTTTCAGCTATGACATGCCAGGATTTCTACAGATATTTTGTTTCTTTCCAAAGAAACAGAAGAGTACAAGAGAAATCTCAAAGAAGAGATGGAAAGTATGAAAAAGAAAAGGCACAAAAACCTGAAACCATGAACATGGTCCAACAATAACAGAAGTGCAAAAGAAGCAGTTTCATTCTTTTCTAAGTAAAGTATGTACACTTAACTTTGCATTTGTAGAAATGAACTTTAAGAAAACTTAATGTAAATGTGCGTGTATGTATATAGCTACTTACCATAAGGAAGCCAAGAGACCAAAAGCCCTTATTTTTTCTCCCCGTGGGAAAGATGAATGAAATGATGTATGTGAAGAACATGGAAGAAGCTGCACAAACAGCTATGCAAACCATCTGAAAACATCAGGATTATCAGCAAGGTTAGAGACTGTGGGTCATGTATGGGACAGGGGGCAGGGACAGAATCAGATCATAAAGCTTCAAAGACAATTTTCTTGCATATGCCTTTTGTTAATGACAAAGTGTTAATCAAAATAATTTTTTTGGTTTTGATTCTATGATTATATGTGGCCTGGGGGAAAAAATTATCACTTACCAGAGCAAACAAGAATCCCAATGGAAATGTGAATTCCAAAAACATGAAGCAGTAAATTAAATGTATTGGAAGAACAATCATGAAATATAATGGAATATCCACCAGAGCCTGTCCACACCAGTATGCTGAAGGCCAGAGGCCTGAAATCCATAACTGACACTGAACTTTTTGCTGATAAAGAAATAGAAAGGATACAGGAGAGGCTGAGATCTTAGGCAGAAAAGATACTTTGTTTATGTGAAAACATTAATTTTTAGTAAATTTTAGAAGTAGTATACTGTAGCAGAAGCTTTTTTTTAGTCTACTTTTTTTTTTTTTTTGCAATTAAGGCTTTTTTTGGGGGGGGTAGTAATTAAGTTTATTTATTTTTTAACAGAGGTACTGAGGATTGAACCCAGGACGTTGTGCATGCTAAGCACGCACTCTATCACCAAGCTATATCCTCCCCGCTTAGTCTATGCTATTTTATATAATAAATTTGAGCTTCAGTAATCTTCTAGCCCCAGTGTCGGGAAGCAGGTCACAGGACAACTAAGACACTAATACTATACCAAAGAAAATAATGTCTCTGTGACTGGAAAACAGCATCTTCCTAAGTATCTGACATCCAGTATGGAAAGGTATGGCCATTGGCTCAACAGGAAAAGACTGACCCGTCTGTAAAGCTGATTTATTTATCCTTTGGTGTAGACAGATTAAAATAGCCATATCATAAGTTTCTGAAGCCCAATTTACAACGGCGCAGTTAAAAGTCTGGAAATGTGATATATCTTATATTTCATACTACATTTAAAAATACAAATTCCCTTTGGAATTATGAAATAACTACACACAGTCAAAAAGTAGCACATTTTCATCTCTGAAAATCTCATTTAGTATGATTCCCTTTAAAGCCAAGGTAACCTTTTATGTTCAATAGTGAACTTTCTGAATTCTTTGATATCATGACTAACCATTTAATAGAACGTATAATGAGATCAGAATACTATAATTTATGTGTCAAACATTTTTCTTAAAGGGCTACCCTGTGTATATAAAACAGTGAAATTCTAGTTACTAAAGTTAGATACAATCCTCTCTCTCTCTTTCCCCTCCTCCCCTCTCTCTTCCTCCCCAACACCCTCTCCCTCTCCTCTTACTTTGTAATCACTGATGCTACTCATGCCAATGTAAGGAGAAGCGCAGTTTACAAGTAACAGCAAAAGAAGATCCAAAGAGCCAAGTATCAGTATTACATCATCCTGAAAATCCAGAACACATCTGTAAACTATTGAAATTGTTACCAATCATACAATCAAACACAGAGTACTTTTAGGGAAATAGTGAAAAAGTTGGAATGGAAGCATATACCTGGTTTAAGGAGAAAGCACAGAGTAAACATGTGTTGTTACCCTTAATGGCAGACATCATTCCCAAGAACTGTATGATTTCAAAAGAAATTCAAAATCTTAATTTTATAAGCATGTGTTTAGAGGGCATGAACAGTTTCTCTCTCATATTTGCATCTAGTCATTATTAAATGGAGACAGATATGTATGTAGCTGAGAACTACACTTATAGTCTCTGAAGCACTGAACTAAGTTATCTTAGTTATCCCAGTTCCCTATTTCCAAGTAGATGAATTATAAATAAGAGCCTTTAAAACTCTAATAGTAATTGTCTTGAAGCTGTTCTTACGTTCTTATTTCTACATGTAAGATATAATCAGAGGAGAGCAAATCAACTCTTCATAAATAATTTCTTGACTTCTAGAAATGTTTAAATTAAACAATCGTTAAGGCATTATTAAGATTTATAGTCTTATTATAAATCTAAGTTATTTTCCAGACAGGGTAACTTTATTACTGCTATAACAACAGACTAAGAAACAATAAACTAAAATAAAAGTGCAGAAATTGCCCTATTTCATGTGCAAAAAAAAAACCCAAACTGGAATTGGCATTATATTCTTTCCTTACTGTGAAATTTTCCAGTAAAATGTATTCTCCACGACCACTATGTGTCTACTCATAAACGTCCACCCAATTTCTGTGATTTTCCCCTTTTATCTATCATGATGACTTATGTCAGGAATTATCTGAAGGGTGAGAAATGGATTAAAATCATGTACAATCAAATACTGCACTGTACTCCACAAGATATAAAACATAAAACAGCCAAGATACAAATTATAGAGAAAACTGTGTAGAACTGCTAAATAATCATAATTTTAGGGCTGGACCATACCTTCTCATAAATCTTACTGTGGTACACACATATGTATATCCTCCTCACTTGCTTTAATCAGAGTATATGACATACTCAGCAAATTCCCCCAGGGAACTCTCCATTAGATTAAGGACTTGGGTTTGGGGCTTCTCTGGGGTTCTAGGTTTCCAAGCAAATTCATTCATTCATGAACTTCAGAAAATACGTATAGGGTACCTAATAAATGTAAAGAACTATTCTGGATTGCAAATCAAACAAAGCCCAAACTATGATTCTTAAACAGTTGATGTTTCTCTGTCATTTTAAATGTTTCCGTGTCCTTTCAGATCTTGACTCTTTTCATGTTACGTATCTTAGGGAGCTGGGTGTAATTTCTGATTAGGCAAGATTTTAGATCTAGAAGGGTATGGCCAGCAATGAAACAACTTGATAGTGTATCAAGTGGTAATAAATGTAATGGAAATATCGATCTGCATAAAGGATCAGAAATGATAATTTACATTTGATTTACTAAGATAAGGAATTTTATTATATATATAAATTTTTCCCATTAAATTTTTAAATGTTAATGAAGCTAAACATTAAATTACTTGAAAAGTTCTTGATCTTTCAGAATAATACCAGACATGTATGAAATGTTTACTCCCCCTCTTATAAAATGTAGGCTCCCCAGGGTAGGTTTGTGTCTGTTCTGTTTATGTTGTATTACCAGGACATGGCAGACACTGAAGAAATTTTTGTAAAATGAATGAAAAATGTGTATGTCAGGCTCTGTCCTAGGCATTTAGCAAGTTCACTTAATTCTCAAAATAATCAAATAAAGGTATGATTATTTCCCCCATTTTAGAGGGGAGGATAGGGAAGCAAGAAGTGGCTAAGAAACTTGCCCATGAGCAGCAGAAACAGGATTCAAACTCAGGGGGTAGACTCTAGAACCCTTGCCCTTTCTGCCACAGGCTGTACTGCCTCTTAGATAAGTCAATGCTATACTTACAGAAGGAAATATGCTTCTCTCCGTTTTAATAAGCTCTGTAAAATTAAAAATTCCAAGAAGGGCATTGCTAATAATTCCCATAAGAACAGGAAAACAGTTCAGTCTCTTGGTATGACATGCAACTGAAAATCTGTAATCCTAAAAAAAAAGCATACAAATATAAGAGATCTAAATTCGTAAGAGTAAATATAGTTAGTGCACAGTTTGTAAATTACCAGGGTGGAATTAGGGTGAGGAGACTATTAAATTTTCTTTGACACCTCTGCCTATTTGAATTAGTACAAGGATGTATTGTTTTTGTAATTCAAGTGACTTATTCTGTAAATGAAATACATAAACATTCACTAACATGGAAAGATGTCCAAGATTTAGATTTTTTGTGATAAAGTTGTAGGACTCATCTAATTTGATTCCAATTTAGAAAATACATTTACAAATATGAGATCATTCTATACAGTGAGTTGTGTTTTCATAAAGGAAGAGAGTGTAGATGATATTTACCAAACTTATTAAGATAAACGTAATATGGAAAAATAAAGGAATGAAATTATGGAGAGAATTTTACCTCCTATATACTCTAGTAATATTTGAACTTCTCTACTAAACAGTATTGCTTTTTTCTGCTTTATTGAGGTATAACTGACAAGCAAAACTGTAAAATATTTAAAGTGTATATCATGGTGATTGACATACACATACCTTGTGAAAGGATTCCTCTCATGTAGTTAATAAAGTCACATGTATATATTTAGTGTGTATAGATATAAAACATGTAAGTTCTACCCTTAGTAAATTTCAGTTACACACACAGTGTTATCAACTACAGTTATCAACCATGTCACATTAGAGCCTCAGAACTTACTTATCTTGTAGCTAAAAGTGTGTACCCTTTTACCAGCCTCTCCTTATTTCCCCCACCAGCCCCTGGCAACCACTTTCTGAGTATGACTTTTTTTTAAGATTCTACTTATAAGTGGTACCATACAGTATTTCTTTCTCTGTCTGATTTATTTCACTTAGCATAATGCCCTCAAGGTCCATCCATGTGTTATAAAACATGTTTTGCTTTTATAACAAATAAAATCCTTAATTAAAAAATGATCCTTTTAAGAAATTAATGAAGATAAAATGTGCCCTTTAATAGGATTAAAACTTCATACCTTATTCAATTAGTGCCAAAACAGTGTTCAAGTTACCCTGATTATGGAATGACTGAGTTGCTTCTCTATAGACTAAAATATTAGAATGTTGCAAAAAGCCATTTATGAAAAACAGTACAAGGAAGCAAACATACCTTGTGGTCACCAGACACTATGATGGCTCCATTGTAGGACGGATCATCTGAGCCATTTCTATTTCTAAAGTCATCTACTTCCAAAACTATATCCTGACGCTTCAGTGACTGTACAAGGTCTTCAATATTTGATCCTAATGTAGCCAGTGAAGAACGGCAGCACAAGAGTGAGAAAATCAATGCCAAAGCTTTAAAATAAGAATGGCTTCTTCTCATGTTAAGGAATACGCAGCATAACATGGTAGAGACCCTCACTCTTTGAGAATATGATGAAACCTATTCTGATGCTGGGACACTGGAATCCAGCCTACCATCTTGAGTGTAATAGACTCTTTTCAGAAATTGTTCATTTACTTAGTAATTCTTAGGAAGAGTTAATTCCTGAGAGATGTGTAATTCTCACAGGAATAGAACTTGCCATTCTTGAGTTTTAGAAACTTGCCAGAACTCTGCAATGTTTGTAATTACATATAGTACATACAAAATACACACCCCATGACCCAGGCTTGTTCTAGTGACATAAATGAGTCCCACCCATTATGTAACCTGCTACATCTCTCTAACCTAGCAAGAATGTTTATAGTACTAGTGACTCACTCAAAACACCTGCATGAAATTAAGTGAACTTGATATTTTCCATTATGTCTTTTATTTTTCTTGATTTGAAAACAAGCCCATCAATTTCCTTAATCTGAAAATGAAGCAAGCTGGACATACATCACCTTTGTCCCTCAAGCTGTTTGCCAGATAGGTCTTTTTGCCTCTTAAGTTTGTGCTCTCCAAAGTCCTTTGATAATAAAAATGAAGAATGAACTTAAGCCCTATTTCTCACCTGTATTATTAATGATCAACAGACTGGTAAGAGGAGTTTGTGGGAGCTGTTCCGAAGAAAGGAAGTACATACTGGATGAGAACTCCCATCGATGAGTATGATGAAGTACCACAACCATTATCTTCTCGCAAATGACGGGGATTAAAACAATTCCAAACACCACTAACCTAAGTAAGAGAAAGTGAGAATGTGAGTCTAAAACATTCCTCCCTCTGATTAAGTCACAAACATGCTCTTTAAAGGCCAACCTATGGAAATTCTACATACAGATATGGCATTTAGTTACATAAAATGAAAGCTAACGTGAGACCAATTTGAAAATGGGCTCAAATTTCTGCATAATTCCCACTACACTAGAAGGTTCTAAGGTAACAGAACAGTAAGAGAGAAGGTGAGATCCAGAAGGTTTCTCTGTGTGGGTGCTGGTTAACCAGGACACCCAGTTTTATGGATGGAACACCAGGGGCCTCAAAGAGTATGCCCAGGTAGTTTTGAAGGGAAAGAAATCCTATTTCACACTGCGGCTTCAAGCTTGCACTGTGCACAATTTCAAGTAAAATTTTAACTTTCACCAGCTGTTATTTTCCATGTATTTTCACTTTAATGAAACTAGATACAATATTTCATATACCATTTATAGATCCTAGAACTCATTCCACCAATCACGAGTAAAACATTTCCAAGCAATCTTTCTGTTTCTCTAATAAGTAGGTGCATTCACTCTTCGCAATAACTACCTTCTTTTAAACCTCAGGCTCTACCTCTTTCTCCTACACTTTCAGTCTCACATTTCATGGAGAAAAAAAAAATGAAGTGCACCAGGTAGAAATCCCCTCTGGTCTTATCATCACCAAAAGAAAAGAAAACACATTCACAGATACATTCATTGTCTCACTCTTCCTTTCTGCTTTAACAGGTGACACCTTTGCTTGTATCAAAGGCAAGTCCTCAGTATCACTCTGGACCCTGTTCCTTCCCATCCTCCTTGGGACCCTGCACAGTTGGCTCATCTCTCCTGCATCCTCAGTGACTTTCATTCTACTGGCTCTTCCCATCATCACTGAAGCATGTTCTACCTCCCCTTCATAAAAAAGTGCAATTTCCTCCTGACTCCCGTCTCCCTTCAGCTAGTGTCTATAGAAGGAGTACAGCAGGAATTCCCTCCATCACCAAGCACCTCAGAAGAGTTGTTGACTTCTCAGGCCTTCTCTTCCGAAACCTTTAATGACTTCCCTTTTGCCAAATACAATAGATGCTGTTTGTTCTAAACTGCCATTCATCCCCACTTATTTGCTAATCCCCATTCATGTTTTCTACTCTGCTCAAATGAGACCATGTCAGTGGGGGCAACACAGATCACCCTATTTAGAATTATAATGAGCTCCAATTCCCACCAGTCCTCCCCTTCCCCTTACTCCATTTTGTGTAACTTAGTATATAATGTATTCAGCTTTTCTACTTATTTTTTTTATCTACCCCCACCAACTAGAGGTAAATACCACATGGGTGTAGATCTAATATAACCAAATCACCTAGAACAATACCTAGCACACAACAGGCTTTGATAAAGACCTGTGACATAATGAGTAAATAACATTTATCAGGTAATTATTAATTGGTACTTTCCTCCCCCACGAGACAGTTACGTCTCAAGGCCTTGTCAATGGTATTCCCTACTGTAGGATAGTACTGTAGCCACTCAAAAAGACTCATTAAACGAATGAAGAAATTAGTAGACTTCTTTTTCACATTTGAACCTTTTTTTGCATATGTGGACTAAAGAGATTTAAAACAGTCTGAAACTTACAAGGACAAAAGAATTTTCCTCTCACGCCTTAACTTTAGGAAGCGAAGCCTTGCCATCGCACAGATCTGCCGTCTCCAGAGAGTTCCAGAATTGATGGCCTTTTTCATTTCAGGAAGCGAACAGAGAGCCTGTCCCATTTCAGACTCAATTTCAGTGCCTCTGGTCACGCAGATTTCCCCCTGTTTCTGAATGCCCAAATCTAGAACCATGCGACAAACTATTATAAGAGGCTACGTCACTTGTACTTTCTCTTTAGCAACTTTGAAAAATTATATTAGAATACTTGAAATGACACATCTAACAAGTGAAGCTATTGATATCCATAACATTGATATTCAAAATTTTTCCTCCAAACAAATATAATGGATCCAATTCCAATGAGTGAGCAAATTAGTCTGAAGGGATGGTTTATGCTGTCTAGGAAGCATTTATTCTTTCCTACCAACAACAGCTACTCCTCACTAAAGGATTTTTGCAGAGCAAGTCTTACACAAAAACTCAAGGATAAATTCACATAGATGAGTTTCTAAAAAGTTCTCTTCCATCCTGTCTCCTCTGTCTCCTCCACAGGACCAGTTCGTCACTGATGACTGACATTCAGTGACTCTTTCAAGACACCGTGGTTTTAAGTAACAGAAAGTCCATGAAAGACTCCTGTTCAAATCCCACCTGTGCCACACGCTAGCTGTCGGTTGTGGCTAGTCACTCATCCTCTCTAAATCTGTTTTCTCACCTGCATCATGCAATTATTTATGGGAACTAAGAATAATAAAACCCAACAGCTGAGCACAATGGCTGATGCATACTAGGCTTCTAAATTATTATTATTACAAAGTAAGGGAAGATAACATCTTATTTAATTATCTGTCAATATGTTAATTAGAACTGGTTGATTAGCTAAGCAAGAGCACATTCTTGCAGGACATAGCAAGTAAGAGACAAAACCAGAATTCAGGACATTATCAGACGGCTACTGACGAGAAGGGGTAAGTGGGCATTGCAAAGGAATGAGACTGTAACTGACATAGGAGGTGGAAAAAATGTCATAAAGAGATTTGTTTAGCACCAAGCCTGATTAAGTTAGATATAAAATAATTATGATACTTTTAAAAGTGGACAGCCGTATTTATATCTCATATACATTCTAGGCAGAATTCCACATAAAGATCTGCAAATATAAATTAATGCATAGTCACTTTTTTTTCCTTTTTCTTAATTTTCTGCTAGACACACATTTTTATACCTGGCTCATCAATTGCTGATCTGCCTTTCAGGTTCAAATATACTTCATTCAGAGTTGTCATGGAAATACCATAATTCATTATACCCTGGTCAGAAGACTTTTCAAGGTCTCTGAAAAGATCTAAAAAGCAGAAAGTAATAAAACAATGCAATTAATATTGATAATGAGTCCACTATAATAACTAAATTCTAAAGATTACTCAGGATACATAATCTAAAAATATTTTCATATTAGATCTACCACTAATTTAAGAAAAACATTCCCATAAGGTGTCTTCTTATTTTCTATTCTTATTATTCAAATCTATTTTATTATCTTGCACATCAGTTTAGTTTTATAACTTTAAAATCTCTTGAACTGCTATAGCTATGTGAGCATTATATGAATATGTACCTGTATGTCTATTTAAAAACTCATTTTGTATGGGGTAAATTGTATTTTCTTCTTTGTATTTTCCAAATTTTTTCCACTGAGTATACTACTTTTATAATTAAAAACTGTAATTTACCAAGACTCTGTGGAACTGCTACAAGTGTTTTCAAAATAAGGTCTTATTTAATCTGTGTCTCTAACAGAAATAAAAAGATATATTTCAAAGCTTCATTTAATGCTGACAAAGAAGGCAAATCTGGGTTTCTCAGTGAACTACATTCATGGAAATTTTAGTTGCCCTTGCATCAAAACCGTATCTGGTAACACACTTCATTACATTGGAAATGGGAGACACAGTACCTATGAATAAGTATTTTCATGTGTGTGAGCTTCAGAACACAACTGACAGAACAGCCGAAAAATGCAATCAGCATAATCATGGACCATAGTTGTATTTATTCTATGTGATCACACAGTAAGTTACCTGGAAATTTGTTTGTTCTTTCCAAGGGCAAACTGTACACAAGTTTTTCTTTACTTTCTGCTGTTAACTTGGCATCAGAGATGTGCTGTGTAATGAGGGATGTGATTCTGTCCAGATTACACATTTCATTCCTGTGTAAACTAATGTTTCAAAAAAAGGCATAAGTCTTTTGAATTCTTTTCCAGTACTGCTGCTCATGAAAAGACAGATTTTGGTGAAATAATACATATATATTACAAGCAAATCCTGCTAACTTCATTAATCAGTTCTGAACTATTAAGTAGATTTGGAATATGATTTTAGACTTTTAGGCAAAATGCTTTATTAAAAATGATTAATTGCTTGGGGGGGACATAAATACAGATTTTTCTTATATAAATATTAGTCAAAAAATGTTATATTGAAAGACACATAAACTTTAGAAATTCGCATGCTTAAGACCAAGATGTAACCAACAGAGAAAAGGTCAATGAGGGAGATATTTATAGTGTCTATTATAAATCAATTTCCCCCCAAAATTAAGCTGACTTTCTTAAATCTGTATAGGATTACATGAAATTACAATATGAGGCTCACCCTTCAGTATTGACACACTCATATTAGAAATGACACCCAGAATACATTACCTTAAATGATATCCAATACCCCATTTTCTCTTCAGAAACAAAGATGACCCTGCACATTTCAGCTTCCCATTAGACAGAAACACCTTCCTATCTGAGTAGAAAGAAAGAAAGACTAAATTGTGTGAATTCCTTATGTGGGTATATTCTGACTATGGAGACCAAATCTCTGACGGACTTTTTCAACATGAAACCAAACACAACACAACTGCGCTCCTGGGTGTAGCATCACCTCTCACCACCGTGCCTACCCTGAAGCACAACTCAGAAATTCACTGTATCCCTCACTGCTAACCCAATGGTACAAACACTGCAAGGAATGCCCGATTCCTCAGCTCTCCCTTCAGCCACATAATTTGTTATGTAACTTCGTAGTGTTCTTTCACTATGGGCAAAGTGACCTGCTCCACCATGTGACACCAGCTTCCACCCTGTGACTTGCTTTGGCCAGTGGCAGATTGGCAGACCTTGGCGAGCAGTGGCCTGAAATGGGCTTACGTGTTGGGTCTTGCTCTCTTGAGGCTCAGGCACTACCATCAGAAGGTGCCCAGGCTAGCCTGCTAGAAGACATTACACACCTACATGGTGGTTGGTGTTACTTATGTCACCTGAGCCAATGGCCACACAACCACTAGACATGCGAGTGAACCCAGTCAAGACCCAAAAATCTCTCCAGGGGAGCTCACGCTAAACAGCCGACTCTCCAACTCAAGGACTAAATAAACGCTTATTCATTTAAGGCACTGAGTTTGGAGAAGACATAGCATTTTTGAGACAGGAGATAACTGACATGAGAAGTAAAGTATGTTTTACCTTAGATTTCATGTTGGACATTTAGAATAGTCTTATACTACACGTCAAACAACAGAAATTTCTCTTCCTTCACTGAGACCACTTCTGACTTCATTTTTTTCTAGACTCTTCCTCCACAGGCTCTCCTGCCTCATTGAAACTAGTCTTCTCTACCTGCCACTATTTCCTAGGCAAAAGTATCTGTTGTCTCTCTAATTCTCCAGTCTTCATACCCAACACCTCACTCAGTGAAGAAAGGATCCCCCTAAGAAGGCAACAAAGGGTTGTAAATTTAAGAAGAATTTTTCCCGGCTAAAAGTTTTTTCCAACAATAAATATGTACATCCTATATATACAAATACATATATAGTGATTTTATATATATTAAAGGTAATGTTGGAGCTTCAAATTTTTAAAAATATACTTGTGATTAATGTAGACATTCAAGAAAGTTACAGACAAGATAGATAAAGCATGGTTCTAAGAACTCACTGGGGGAATCAGAATTCCTTGGAGGCAAAATGTATCTTTCAGATATACTCACTCAGATGGATGGCAAACATGATTCTCTTCTTTTAAAAACAAGTTAGAGAGAATACCTCTCATGTTGAATCCTTACATAACTAGTTAGAATAAAGAAACAAAGAATCACCGGCTAAGATGTCAGCCTCATCCATGAACTGGGTACTAAAAAGGATCACGTGGTTTGTTTTGCACTCCTTCAGGAAGCTCCAAACTCGGTGCCTTGAAAAAGGATCCAATCCAGCAGTTGGTTCGTCCAGTAGCAAAATCTACAGAAGAGAAAATATATGAAAGTACCTTCCACTTCAAAGCTGAGTATCTTCAGAAAGTAGCATGGAAACCAATATGATTTCTAAATTCAAATACAGTCCTCCACCACATCCCTAACAGGCTTGCATGGTCCTTTATTATAAATTTTCTCTCACATTTGGCAATTAAAATAGAGTTTGGACTTAATAATAGTTTTATATCCTTTGATGAAAATTAATCTCGAAGATATTTTTTCTCTTACCTGAGGATCTCCTAAAAGGGCAATCCCAAATGTTAGTTTTCTCTTCTGTCCGCCACTTAATTTTTTAGCAATAACATCTTGAAAGTTTTCTATGTCTAATTCCATTATAACTCTTTTTACCTATCAAAAAATTAATAGAAAATATTTTACTTTAACTTTAAGCAGTCTTAAATGTCTAATAATTAGAAAGAATTTATTCTAGACCTTCATTAATTAAGCTTCACTAATGAAAGAGTAAAACAATAGTTAAACAAAGCTATGGTCATGAGCAAATTAAGTAAATTATTTCCAAAGCCATCGATTATACTATGTTCAGATACCTCTTGTTCCACTTCTTTTGGTTGAATTCCTTTTATTTTAGCAAATAGCCTGAGGTTTTCTCTCACAGTAAGAAAGTCAAATTGAATATTGAATTGTGGACAAAATCCAATGTCCTTTCTGATTTCTTCCATCTTAGTTATTTCAGAGAGTTGGGTATTGTAAATAGTGGTTGATCCTGTAGACAAGAATTTTAAAGCATTTAACATCAGGATATGAACTATGCAGAGTAATAATACAGGATATTTGCTGAAGAAATTTCCATTTGATAACTACATAATTAATATATTGAAAAATTCAGATCAGTCTTGACACAAAAATCAGTGTCCAAAGCAATGCAATGTATATGTGGAATGTCAAATAATGCAAGAATACAAATACAAGCATTCTAATTTATGTAGATATGAAATAAACATTTCCCATTCTAAATTACTCAACTTTGTAAGAAGTCTGCTTTAGAGAAATATTTTTCTTTTACATAATCAGATTGAGGAATCTGTTTTATCAGCCAACTTGTTTTGTAAAATTATTTTCTTACCTTCTGTACAAACAGACAACCCACTAAGAATGTTTAGCAGTGTTGATTTACCAGCTCCACTGTGTCCAAGTATTGCAGTGATCTGTCCTTCATATATGTCAAGAAATATGCCTGTTTCAGATAAAATGTGAAAATCAGACTTCGGATTATGTTCAGATGAAATGGGCTTTTAAAAAACTGAAAGAGTGAAATATATCTTAGCATTTCAGTTCATTAGTATTCTGATATGTCCTCTATAAAAGTATGTATCTAATTGTATCTATTTATGAAGACAAAGCCATCAATTTCTCTGAAGCTACTGGATCAAGACTGGAGTATAAATTTCTACTTCCCTCCCTACCCCAAATCCTTTGAATGTCAAAGAATCTATACGTTTAACATTAAAGAATAACGCCAAAGCTACAAGGAATAAAAACCAAATAGAGTATTTGCCTCCTGGACAAAAGAAAGTTTCTATTTCTATTAAGAAATACTCTCTCTGAGGGGCCTAGACCTGGGGACATAAGGGTCAGGTAGAGAGGCAAAGGGGTAGCTTATTCCATGTTAGGAAGGAACGAGGGTAGTTCAGAGCAGAGGATGGTGTAGTTTCCCTGGGCACCCGTCATTACTCTGTTTTGTATCATAGAAGTGTGGGCATGGTCTCGAGATAGGTCTGTTGGAAACAAGGACATGTCACAGGCATTTTTATACACACATCCTTAGAACTTGACATGGTTTTCTCTAATATCTGAAAAATTATCTAACTTCATTGGGAAATAACAAAGAGTTTCATTAGCATCCCGGAAATTTTAAGAGATTCTCTGAAGACATAAAACATATGGAATTATATTGTGAGAGAATCAAAAATAAGGCAAACCAGAGCCCAAAATAGATGATGAAAGTTCTATGAAAGTAAAAACAATCCAGTGACACTTCAAGCTCAGTTTGACAAATTCGTATCAAAGATTATAAACCAGCGTAAGTAATATAATACTATTTTAAAATATTTTATATATAGAAAAATATGCATTATTAGTAACTATCCCTCATAGTAGAAACTCCTATTTTTTTCCTTTTTATCAATATTCATTCTCTGATTTTCCACTATGACTATTTGTATTTTCAGGAAAAAAATTTTTTTAAATTAAAAACATCTTAACTATGAAGTTTCTCTCTTTACCTTGCAATGCTTCTACTTTTTCAGGCTTTCCATTATATTCTTTTTTAACATTTCTGATTCTGCAAGAAGGATTAAGCAACTGTGAGGTAAATACAATTTCTAATAACACAGATTATGGTAACTGCCAATACTACAGTTCGTGATTGAACCTAAACTTCACAATGGAGAAATTTAGTGTGAGTGCTAGGATGGACAGTGGAAACACCAAGTGAGATGGAGAATGGAAGTGGGACTGGTTTATAGGAGACTGGTAAGAGGCTCCATCTTAATGAGATCCAAGGAGGGCAACAGCACAAGCCCACACCACCCACAAAAGAGTTTTGCACAGACCTGCTTAGACTTTCATCAAGCTTGGCATTTCACATATTCCAGCTATTTCTCTAAGTTAACAAATGAAGGGGGAGCTACAATGGAAAGAAAAGAAGGAAAGGAAGGAAGAAGCAAGGGAGGGGAGAGGGGCTTTCCATCAGACCTGCATCCTCCCTAGCAATTATTTAATTGTTCTTCCCTTCCACAAATTTATCAAAATAAGAGTCTCTACTGTTTCCATTTCTTTATCTCCAACTTTAGACACATAGCTTGTAACTGTACCATGCCACTGAACCTATTCTCAACCAAGTCACCAGTGACATTCTAACCACCAAATCCAGTGGACACTTTTCAGTCTCTGTTTTGTAAACCTCATCACTGATTTGACAACTGCTCACTCTTTTCTTCTTGCAAGGCCCTCTCTATGTCCTTGGCTCTGTTCCCTTTTGGTTTCCACATTGTTCCCTTAATATTCCTTTTCAGCATACTTTATGGGTTAAACTGGATTCTATACTGACCAACTATTTTTTCTTATTCTCAGATCTTCGCCATATGGTATTACCCACTTTGATTCCTTCCACTCTCACCTAGATTTTCATTCTTAAATTTGTGTCTCTAGATCTTTCTTCAAAGTTTCAGATTTATCTATTCAACTTCTACTATATACTTGCACATGAATATGAAACCCATATGAATAAAGGACTAACATGTATCCAGTTCCTATTTTGTTACAGACATATCTGCTTAATTATCTCACTGATTCTTTAAATTACTCAAGAAGAAGACATTATTCTGTGGAATTACACTACACATTTCTTATAAGTGAAGAAAATGAGGCTTAGAGAGCACCAAGTTTAGCAAAAAGTCACAAAGCTACTAATTATGAAGAAGTCTTTTAGGATGATGGCAGAAATACCTGAAAGAAAAGAACTTTCAGAAACACTTTATCTGTAACATTTGACCTGTGGTTGTCCCTGTTGCAACTTAGTTTTTAGTGAAATGTGTACATAGTCACATGATGCATTAATTACCTGATGGCTTCTTTTCCGTGAAACTCTGGAGACACGGGTTCAAAAGAACCCTCAGAGGAATCCTCAGGATTCATTTCATTCTCAAAGACTTCATGATGAGTATTTTGATGTTGGGACCAAAATGAAGACTTTAGGAAAAACAACGGTGAATGCCGGTGGCCATCCTCATCTAGTTAATCAAGATGCAATTACATACTGAATCAATCATACTGCATCAATAAAGAATGACATATGTCTTCGTGTAGCCTGATACTGATTTTTTTACACATTAATAATTTTTATTAATTTTTTCAAGTTTTACTGAGAAGTAATTGACATACATAACTATTAAGTTTAAGGCATACAGTATGATGGTTTGATCTACATATATTTTGAAATGCTTACTACAACAGGTTCAGCTACATCCACCATCTTCTATAGACACAACAAAAATTTTCTCCTTGTGATGAGGACCCTTAGGATTTATTCTCTTAACAACATTTCTACATACCATACAGCAATATTAACTACAGTCATCATGTTGTATATTGTATTCCTAGTACTTATTTATACTATAACTGGAATTTTATACCTTTTGATCACTTTCCTCCAATTTCCCCTCCTGCCCCTGTACACCTCTGGTAACTACAAGTCCGATCTCTTTTTCTACAAGTTGGGTGGAGTTTTTGTTTTATTTTTGCTTTTCAGATACCACATGTAAGTGAGATCATATTTGTCTCTGTTGATATCAATTTTGAATTTAAGTTATACTGGGAATTTTTGTTTACAATGTTAAAAATAAGGTATTACAGGGATGCTAAATTTAAGATAGTGTTTTGGCCTTTGATAAATTCTCAGCTCTGGTTCATAAAAATAAAAGTTTATCAAAGAAGATAAAGTTGCAGCTGTAGGAAATTGCATCAAGAACATTCTTACTCCCCAGTAAGAATGAATACTTACTTGAATACTCCAAATACTTGAATACTTAAAAAGAGAAGTTGTGTTAAGTAGATTCCTGCCACAGTATATGAAGAAATATTATTTTGATAACATATAAAAATGAACATTGAAAATAATGAGCATATCACTATAAATCAAAAGTCAACATTTTTCAAAGCTCTAAGACTAAAACAAAAGCAGAAAAATTAAGTTACTAAGAACAGAAATGTAGACATAAGGTTGGATGACTATTGTCATATAGGAAAAGGGTATGGAAAGGATGAAAATTAATTTAAAAGATCAGAAGTGGGATGCATGGGAAATATTAAAAAATCCATTAGAAAAATGAAAGAAACATAAATCAAACTATTTCTGCCATGTTTTCATTTGTTTTATTTTATGTAGATTTTTTCCAACCATATTCAGACAGTCCTTTAAGTTTTTAATAACTTCATAAAATTATACAAGGCTTTTTCATCAATAGTTTGTATTATTGCAAGGCAGAATGAGCTATATATGTATAATCAATTAAAATTTTTTGACATTTAAATACTTATATTTTAATGGCAAGAAATGAGACTAGAGCAACAATTAATAGAAGCTGTGGATCTAAAGAATCAAAGAAAGCAAAATGAGATGGTACTTTAATATATCCACAAAACATGAAATTACTAGTGACAAGAAGAGGAAATGTAATGGGTTTTTTCGGAAACTATAGGGTAATTAAAATAGAGTTTCCACATGTAATATTATATTACAAACTGTCACTGCAAGCTAATATAACATAAGAGGATAAATCTGAGCAAATACTACCCCCAAAGAAGAGCTGAAGAGGAGGAAACACAACAGCAGAGAACCTGCAGAGATAAGAAAGTAAAAGGTGTTGGACACATGTAGAAAAATACAAGGGAAAAGTATAGCTAGAAAACAAGTGTCTTTGAAAAGGGAAATAAAAAGAATAGTGTGCTGTGGTTTTAGAGATAGAATATGAGAGAGCAGAAATGCTCAAAGGTGAAAATAAGTTACAAAGAGCCGGAGCAGAACTAGCCAGAAAGGGACATTACACTGTGAAAAAGCAAAGGGATGGGGGGGGGGCATTAAAATTGAGAAATAAATTCATTTGATTTTGATTTTGATTTCATTTGGAAAAGAAAAGCAAGTTAATTATGAACGAGTAGAGGACTTGTTAAGAAAATATGGAAGTGTTACCTATTAAAATATGAATCAAATTGTGAACGGACGTATTGGGGGAAAAATCATTTTTAAGGTAGTAAACCAAAAATTTAGGAAAGAACGAATATATAATGTGGCACAGAGTTGTGACTGGGAAAAACTAACTCTGGAGTATAACTCTTATGTCTTCTTCTACTCATTAGAAAGAACTCTGATTTTACCTACTAGCTTCCTGGAACTGGGAGGCTAAAAGGGTAATGAACAAGGGGTAAAAGAGAAAAGAAGAAATTCCTAAAGGAGAAAGACAATGAGAAGAGGGAGAAGAGCCTGGCCCCAGTTTTGCTGGGGGACACTCTAAGGTTTTAGAGGAAAGGAAGTTTTTACTGCCTTTGCCATAGGATGAGTGAATGAGAAAGTGAGTGTGTACACAAGGAGATGAGATCAGAGATTATAATTTCCATTTTGCAAGTTTGAGAAATAATAATAAAGTAAATATTTTCATTTATTCAGACACCATAATGTTGAATTTTTGACTGTGACCTGTGCCAAGCCAAGGATACATGTTAACTTGTTTTTATATGGTTAATATGTTATATACTAATTTCTGGCTCAAAGAAGAAATTTCATTTAATTTTGAGAAATCATTTATTCACAAGACTAATTTTGTAAAATAATTTTGAAGGCAATTTGCTACATGCATAAGAAATTACTTACTTCAAAATGATATATTACGAAATTTTACAATAAAGTTATGTTAATGGAATGAATAAGAGACATAGGGGACAAAAACCCTAAAATAAAAGTGTAATGGAAATAAAGAACATGAAACAAGTAAGTCTAGAAGGAAACTATAAATGTTTTTAAGCAAAATATCTGAATTAGAAAACATATAAGGGAAGATATCAGAATAAATTGGGTTTGAAAGGATAGAAACATTCAGATTCTGACATGTGAGAAAGAATGATGTATGAGTAAAATTTGTGAATTTTATATGGACAAAGGGAATATATATATATACTAGTTCCTGGGATTATATGTGCAGACTACACAGGAATTTTATAATAGTTATTTAAAAGTTGTTTGTAGAGTTTATTAACTTATACAACACTATTTAAAGCATTCTTGTTAGGCGGATCTTTCCACAAAAAGGGAAGAGAAGAGGTCATTCATTAACTTTACATTGTGTTTTCTTCTTCATATCTTGAGATTCAGAAGAACAATTTACTAGAGCCAAATATTAGCAAGAATTTCTTAATGAACCTTCTTATCAGTGAGTTCAATTCAGCACTAAAAATTAGCATCATTTTCCAATAACTGTTTCAGTGGCTTCATTCCCTCTCCCCAGCTGACACACACACACACACGCAAACACAAACACACACACACACACACACACCCCTTACCTTTATAAAAGATAAAAACCAACAGAAATGCAGGTTTTTAAAAATTAAAATGTCTTAACAAAATAATTTCCATTCAGACCATTAAATAGCCTGAGATGAAACAGTGAGATGAAAATGAGGAAAATTCTATTGCTTTGAATATTTTTCCTTTCTGCTGCAATCAGAAATGCTTCTTAAAATGAAAAGTCAACAAAGAGTAAGGCATTACCTTAAAAGAAACAGAATTACTTTCAGTTCAACTTTAACCACACTATTACTTACCAGGCAAAACTCGTTCAAAATATAATGTTAGTATCAAATAGAGAAGAGTGTCAAATACCAAAATGAAGTACATCACTATCATTATGTGTGACTCTCCAGAAGGATCAGGAAAAACAACACCACTCAGGTTGTAATCCAGGTGTGAAATCTGAAATCAGAAACAACAAAATAAAAGTTAGATGAACCTATAAAAATAAAGTTTTTAATGGTGCTGCATAAGCAAATAAAATTCATATTCTAATATCCTTTTCCTGAAAAATGCACGGTGAAGTTGTTAGTAGCAGTGTTGCTTTTTACAGATAAAATTATTGTCACAAGGGTGAGAAATGCTTGATTAGAAAGTAAAACAGTTGAAGAACAGAAACTTAACTAATCAATTGATCCGAAGTTTTAAAGAAGGGGATTAAGAGAAGGGGCAAGCTATCAAAAATAACATATTCTAGGAGGAGAAAGAGTGGGCAGTGAACTTGAAGGACATTTAAAGGAAATTCAAAAATGCTAAGTATTAAGATGTTGCAGAAATGTTAGAACATTAAGTAAGTAGGGAAGACCCGATGAGATTAACTTTAAGCATAATAAAGATAATTAAACACAGAAAGATAATGAAGATAGTAGCTAACATTCACATAGCTTGTGTCAGGCACTGTTCTAGCATTACACATAAATAATAGCACAGTTAGTCCTCACAACTCCCCACAAGGTTAATTCTACTGACATCCTTATTTTGCAGGTGAGGAAAGTGAGGCCTTGGAAGTCAAATGACTTGCCCAAGGTCATCCGGTATTAAGTGGCAGAGATGAGCCTAATTCATGCCGTCTGGCCTATTCACTACTCATAACCTCCACATTTTAATGCTTCTTTCAGTGGGGACATAAACCAGGTATTTCTGGGTGGTCATATAATGTGCAATTATTTTTCTTACTTAAGTTCCCTAAGATTGTAAAATGATCTGTTTTGTTTATTACTCTGATAAGAAAAAATTTTATTTGGATTTTCAAAAGAAGAATTTCTTAAAATACAGGATAGTTGATCATTCAGTTTTACGAAGTACCAAACTCTTCAATAATTCTAAAAATCTAGTAAATGAAATCATGAAATGGTTGTGTTCTTACCTGAGCCATTCCAGCAGTAAAGGCAAAAGGGCTAAACAGACCTAAAGCCCACGCCAACGATAAAGGAAGCTGTCTGTACAGCACAAAGAACCCCAGACCTCCCCAAAACACAGTGAAGAGAAATCCAACCAAACTCGAAAGAAATGGTTTCTTTATCAACACGCTCAGGAGGAAAGCCAGGGCAATCTGAAGAAAGAAAGAAGAATTCCAATTGGTGTATATATATATATTTTTTTTTGAGCATCTTAAATAGCAATATTCATCTATTTCTCACATTGTCAAAAAACTTTCTCAAAACATATAAAAACCAGGGTACAACATGAGTAGCTGCACCCTACCAACATCCTGAAGAAAAACTACTGTTTGCTCATACATCTGAGACCTGAAACAAGTTGAGAGATTGATGTTTTGCCAACTCACCAAAGACAGGCCATATAGGAAAAAAAGTGTGAATATCACCATGAAGCCAGGAATGACTATAATTTGGACAAATTTTATGACCAAAACCATTAAAATGGACATAATGAAGATGAAGCCAGCATACATTAATGCCCAGGAGAGCCTACGGTAGAAACAAAAGGTTAATTCAAAATTTACATTCAACACGTAAATGTTTGGAGAGGCAGTACGCAAAACAGTTCACAGTACACATTCCAGAAACAAACATACTAGAGTCAAATATAAAATTGTGGCTATGTGCACTCTAGCTCTGTGATCAGGGTCAAGTCTCTTATCTTTTCTCACCTCATCTGTAAAATGGGGTCAATCATGATAGCTATCTCATATGGCTGTTTTGAGGATTATGGAATAATGCACATGAAGACGTTAGCTTAGCAATTATAAAAATAATTATCTTTCAATTATAGACTAAATTTTAAAATTCATATAATTATATGCATATGATTCTTTCAGTCAGATGACTATGTAAATGTTAATGGAAAAATAATAATCTCACCTTTAAATTCCCTTACACTAAACTTCCTTATACAATTGTTCTGAGCATTTAACTGAAATCTCTCCAATTTAAGTAAAAAAGTAAAGTTTTCATTTTTTTCATCCTTAAATGGCTTTTAAGTCAGCCACTCAGGATATTGTTTTTTAAGAATCAGAATACAGCTATGCTGTTAAGTAGCATAAAGCTAAAATAAATCAAAAGGTGTCATGTGGTGAGGGGTGTACAACAGTGATCCTACATCACAGTAATCAAGGCTGGTTATTTCTGAAAATCTGTGGAAACAGATAGAAAGTTATGTTTTAAACAGGACAATGCCTCTCATGTTAAAAAACTGACCTTCTATGAAAACACTGATAAAACTGCCAAGTACCCTCTGGATTTATATAGGGTTTTCAGCCTGAGTTATAACTTTGTACAGATAATACATTTGAAAGCCTTTTATATACTCTTGAGTAGTACATCAATCTAAGTTGTTATTACTATCACAAGTAAATAGCATTTTCTTGTGTACTTACAGTAAACTGAAAAGATTATAGTTTTCCTTACTCTCTCAAGTTCCCATTACTTAACTAGAAATTTTTAAAAAATCTTTTACAAATCCAAATAATCTTATTCAGTTGATTTTTGAAGATAGAGTAAATCTTTCATCTATGAAAATATCTACTCCTAATAATTAAAGGTATTTTTGAAACAGCTGGCCATAGATGGAGATAAGGAGAGTATGGAATATAAAGATTTGTGAAGAAAAGAACTGAGAAAAACACAGACAACTTTCATGTTCAATGAATTTATAAGAACACCATATACTATATTTCAATGTTAAGTATAAAGGCATAAATCAAATCAAACACAGTTATTTTCTATAATCCACGCTTTTGTCATTTATACATTGCTGGTGGGAATAAAAATGAACGTCCACTCGGGAAAACACTTCAGTAGTTCCCTACAAAGCCAAATTACCATACAGCCCAACAATCATACGGCTGGGCATTTATCCCAGAGAAATGAAAACTTATGTTCATATCAATACCCGGACGCAAATGACAATAGCAGCTTTATTTGTAATACCTCAAAACTGGAAGTACCCCATGTCTCCTTCAAAGGTTGAAGGGTTAAACAAACTGAGAGCTAGCCATATCACTGAAAAGTACTCAGCAATAAAAAGGAACAAATCATTGATAAATGCAGCAACCTGGAGGAATTGCCAGGGAATTGTGCTGAGTGAAAAAAATCAACCTCAAAGGGTTGGGTACTCCATGATTCCACCTACACAGCATTCTTGAAATACTGAAATTATAGAAATGATGAAGGAATACAGTGGTTACCAAGGGTTAGGGATAGGAGACAGGGAAGAAAGAGCTGAAAGTGGCTGTAATAATGCAACAGGGGAGACCCTCGTGGTGATGGAACTGCTCTGTACCTTATGTGTCAATAACGTGGCTGTGATTACAACAGTTTTACAAGATGGTATCTTTAGGGGAAATTTGGTAAAAGGTACACAGAATCTCTCTATTTCTTATGATTGAATATGAATCTACTCAAAATAAAAATGTTTAATTAGAAAATATTGTCATTACTTATAGCACTAAGACTAAATCATGTTTAAAAATAAGAAAAGTATAACATGTACCTATCATTATAGATACAGAAAAATGATTAAAAAAAATTGGGCAGGATTGGAGAGAACATATGGAAAAAAGTAATTAAACTGTTTTCAGTTATTATATTGAAGTAATATTATTAGTGTCATTAGACTGTTATATGTATATTTCTGGATAAAACAAATGAATAATTAGGGATATTCTAATTTTAATTTTCCCTGTATCTCTCCTGGAGAACTAGAATTATCAGTGCATAAGGAAAACGATACAGTTCTAATATTGAAGAGGCTAATTAAAAACCCTTTAGTACTACATTTGAATTGTAAGTATCGGCGTGAACTCATGAGACATCTTTAATGTGTGTATGTTATTCTACATATAAAATGCAGCATACACATTATTCTCTCGCTTTCTCTCCTGAAAGGCTAGAAACAATGACCAATCCCATGGAAAAAATATTTCTAGCACACAATGGTCTTGAAATATTTTTTCTAACTAAAAGAAACTGGAGCACCTTGTCATACAAAATAGAAAGGAACCTATCAAAAATAAAACTCAGAAACCAACCTGAAGCAGCTCCCTTTGGCCAAAGACAGAACAACTGGAGTTGTTATAATAATAATAATAATAATAATAATAATAATAATAATAATAATAATAAGTTGGTGGTGGTTGTTATTATTATTATTATTATTACAGTGGATTGAAATCTATTAGACATGTTTAGATCCATGAATTCATAATGGCATTTGAAAAACTGGTCATCTTTGAAGAAACTTAGGGAAACAGTTATCTTAAAAACTAATGAAGGGGGAGAATCGAGCAAAAAAATCTGTTTTTAATCATTGTTTAAATCATTTTTTCCTATTTCATCCTCTTCTTAAAAATTAGCCCCACTAGGAGCTGATCTTAATTCGTGTATATTTATACTTAAACTATGCACCTTAGAAGCACTGGGGACCATCTGTGCTAAGTAATTTAAACACATTGTCTCTTTTAATCCTCACCACCCAAAGGACATCTTTATTGACTAACCATATGAACTGGCTTCAATAAAATGTGGTAATTTAGTTTACTGTTTAAATTTTTCATCCCTTCTCCCACACTTCACTTCCATGAAGGGAGTGTAATTCCCTGTATTGCTGGTCTTGGGCTTGGCTATTTGACTTGTTTTGGCTTCATGGTGGGCAGACTACACTTCTCTGTCCCTTGACTTGGGGTTTGTCCACATGACTTGCTGTGACTGGTGGGATCTGATCAGCTGTGACATGAGCAGGAGCTTCAAATGTGCTTGTGCAGCGAACAGGTCCACTTGTGCTTCTGTGACTGAAGGAGGAGAACATGCCCAGCTAGCCTGCTGAGCCAAGGAGGGTGGGTGACATGTGGGACAGATCTAAATGCAACTTGCATCCAAGCCCAGCCAGATCCATCCCCACTCCAGCCATACTACAGACAACTGAGAAAGAATAAATGATGGTTGTTGTGACCACTGGATTCTGGGGTGGTCTTCTATGCAGCATTTTTTCTGGCAATTGCTAACTGATACAGGCATTGTTTTTCTTCAACTCAGGGAAGCATAAGCACAATCCTTACTTACTTTCTACTGCTATTAAAATCTAATACAAGTAAGGTAATTAAAGTGAATGCATGCAAAAGCAACTCGTGACTGCAGCTAATTTCATTTATAACCTAATGAGTTTCTCTATTTATTAATGTGTGATGCATAGGTAAAGCAGCAACTTGACTTACCAGAATGCTGTCCCTCGGAGACCCATCACTGTCATCAGCTTCTTACATTTTTTTCTTTCCTCTGTAATGTTTAATGATGCAATGTATACAAAAGGAGAGAAATAAACCACACAAATAAAAATAAACCATTTGTCTATATTTTTTCTCCTATAGATGAAAGGCAGTGTTCTCATATTTATTCCAGTAGTTGATGTCAATTCTTCCATCACAGAATGATTTGTTGTGACCTAAATTGGGATGTTAACAAACAGATATATTATGCTATAGAAGAAATATATAAAAAACCATACACCTTTTGTTTCTTTGCAGTTTCCTATAGAAGTATTTACATATTTCTATCAGTTTAAAATACGGTGAACTAAGATAGGTAGATAGACAGACAGGCAGGCAGGCAGACAGGCAGTAGATAAGGCTGGATAAATGAACTATTCCCATAGTTCAGTCAAGAGATGATGATGGCCTGGACGGGCGCTACTGGCAGCGTTGAAGAGAGGTACATAGATTTGAGCTTAGGATTAACAAGGCTGGATGAGAGATGGGATGTAATGGGCGAAGCAAAGGAAATGACTTCTACTAATTCCCCAGTTAGGTGGGTGGCTTTGGCGTTCGCTGAGATACGGGAAATTTTTAAAGTCTCAGTCACAGTTAAAGAAAAATATAAGCATGCAAGTTTGAACTGCTTATGGGGCATCAAAGAAGAGTAAAGAGTCAGATACTTGGGACTAGAGTAGAGCAAACCTCATCTACCACCTGCTTTTGTAACTCGAGTTTTACTGGAACAGTCGTGCACATTGGTTTACCGCTGCTTTCACATTAAAGCAGCAGAGCTGAGTAACTACAACAGAGGAAGTTAGACCCCCAGAGCCCAGAACACTTGCTAACTCACTCTTCACAGGAAGAGTCTGCTGGTCAAAAAGCAGAAGCAGGGTTCCTGGGATTACCGGCATGTAAACTGTAATTAAGTTATGGAAATGGATGCCATCATTTAGGAAAAGTATACCAGATGGAGAAAGACGCCTAGGACAGACCTTTGTAAAACTACTGACTTAAAGACGTGGGAGGGTAAAGCTGGATGACTCTGTGAGCAGACTGAGAAGAAATGGCTAGAAATGTGAAGGAAAATCAAGAGAGTGCTATGCTATTTAGTTAAAAGATCAAGTAAGACAAGGAAAGAAAAACGTCCCTTGTTAATTAACATGAGGACTGTTACTGACCTTAGAAAAATTCATCTTGGTGGTGTGGCGGGAATAGAAATTATATTAAGTTGAACCAAAGTGAAAGCAACCCTTTCAAGAAGTGGAGAATTAAGGGAAAGGAGCTAGAAGATTTGTCTGAGGAGAAAACATGGATGAGAGAAGGTCTTGATAATAAATGAAGAAATTAATAATTTTAAATATGAAAGGAAGTATCTAATTGGAAGGAGCTGAAGAAAGAGGACATGGAAGGGGAAAATCCACTGTGCAACTCTCCCGATAGTGTTGAAAGGGATAATGTTTCCAGCCTACGAACTAAGGAAGAACATTAGGACGACACCGAGGGAAAAGGGTGGGTACAGAGAGGAGCAGGTCTGTAGTCTCTAGGGTTTGTGTTGGGAAGTTGAGGGATATTCCCATCTGACAGCTTCTGTTTTCTCTGAGAATGAGAAAAATAAAAAGCATTATCTCCTAAGAGTGTAGGGCCAAGGTGCAGGAGGAGATAGCGACTGAAAGTAAGGTCAAAAGTATGGAATATTTAAAATAGATCTTTGAAGTTAGGCACTTACTTCTATAATGGCAGCATTAATTGCGGTTTGAAAAGCCACAAACCCTTTCTTCCAGTAACTTGTCAAGGAACAATAAACTTCATCAGGCAGACCCCGACAGTGTTCTTTAAAGAGGAAGGAAGACATGCCCATCATTATGCAATGGAATCAATTAACGGCATTAAGAACATTAACTTTGGCTCTAAAGTTAAAATACCTAAATGTCGGCTCAAAGCCCATGATTACACAATCTAGAGAATTTTTTAAGCACTCTGCAAAGCTGGAAGAAAGAAGATTACTGAGTGACTGCCAAAATAACAAGACTTATACTGTAGTAAAGACTGATCATTGAATTCAGGAATAAAAAGTGTATTACTTCTTTTCTGGATTTTATGAATGTTCCTATCAGTCACTCCCAACAGGGGGTTGATGAAGTAGCAAAAAAAAACAACTGGAATCAATTCTCATGTAGTCACCTGAGTGTTCAAAGTGCTCTTTTATAATTGGGAATCTGTATCTCTGACTGAACTTCAGCTGATATGAGAAAGTATCACTGAACACAACTCCCACCACTTCAGAGCTGTGTTCTGGAGGCACTCTGTTCATGGCTTCTTCATCGGCAGTCCCAATGACTGTTCTTCCTGCCATGGGTGAAAAATGTAATCAATCACAGAAACTTATTACTGAAGGACAGAAAACCAAGTTGCAACTGTCTAGATTTCCCATAAAATTACTGGTTATATACTATCCCAAATAGGCGCCTCTAAGTTAAGGCTGAAAGCCTTTTCTATTGTTTTAAGTTCAATGTAAACACATGAAAAGATGTGTATTATATATTCTTTACCCTGAACAACAGAGGTTTGAACTGCAGGGAGTCCACTTATATGAGGATTTTTTTTCAATAGCAAATATTGCATTACTTATGCTATCCAGGGATTGGCTGAATCCATGGATGTGGAACCACAAATACAGAGAAACCTCAGGAGCTGAGGGAACATAGATACAGAGGGCTCACAATAAATTACACTCAAATTTTCGATTTCGTGCAGGACAGGCTCCCCAGCCCTCCGCATTGATCAAGGGTCACCTGCAAATCAATCTGCAGCATATTTTTCAGTGTAATTCCCATTTTAGTAAAGAAAAAACAATTTATATGCCTATATTCATACAGAAACATATGTATAAATAAGTAATCATGTATATGCTTGTGTATATAGTATCTTAGAAAGATACAAGTTTAAATGGAAGCTATGATAGGGAAGGAAAGATGGCCAGGATAAAAGCAAAAGCTCTCTTTTCTGCTTCCTACAAGTTATATTGCTTAGCTTTTTTTTTTTAAGCTGGCTTTTACTTTGGTAATTAAAATAATTTAAAAATTAAAAATAAAAAATATTTAAAATAATCAATAGAAATGAGAATCTGGTGAGGCTTTTCCCTGCCATGATCATAAACTGATTTCTATTTTCTGAAAATAGTACTCCAATAGAAATAAACTGCATGCAAAGAATCAGAGTACAAAACTCTGAAGTAATGTTACAGTCCACCCAGATTCTCTGGAGTCAAGAATGCTAAGAATTAAACTCATAGTATTTAGGAATGAGTACATTTGCAGAAGTCACCCTATGGCCTCCTTTTTGAATACTTTTTATACTTTCACGTATATTAAGTTTTAAAATTTTTACTAATTTTAACACAGTGTTTAAATCTCATGCAGGATGATGTCTACATGAAGAAGAAGATACTCATGTTCACAGTGAAGCTGTATCCTTCAAAAACACTCGTCCTTCCAAACAGAGTAAGGCTGTGAAACTTTATGAGGACAAGGCTAATTTTACTGATTCTCCCTAAAGTTACACAAATACCGTGGAGGCCAGAACATGTCAAACAGCAGAGTTAGATGAACATGGAATGAGGCAGTGAGAGAGGAGCTGTGACCAGGACAGGCCGGCACAGGAGCTGGAATTGGGTGTTTCTGTAAGAGAAGGACAGACTCGGCAGGGTCGTGAGGCCCTAAGGGCTGAAAGCACCGGACAGCTTGCACTGCAGGGACTAGTCCCTGAGGATTTTGTAAATGTTTCTTCATTTAAAAAGAGATGAGGAAAGAAACCAAATGGATGATGCATGGAGAGCCAGACCCAGGTAGAATCAACACTGGTCAGGCAGAGCACGTGACCAACGTGGGTAAGTGAGGCAGGCAGAAATCAGAGCTTCAGAAGCTGCAGTGAAGAATCACGAAACAGGGCAAAGTGGCCAGGGGTAAAAAGTGGAACCATCTAGAATAGGGTCCAACATTTTATCCTACCCCAACTTTACTTTTTGGAGCAAACAACATACTCACAACAATAATGACTCACAATACCATGGGTTTCAAGGATGACAGGAAAGAAGGATGTGTTTTGTTTAAAAAGCCCCAATTAAATCTTTTTCACTTTGAAAGATACACTTACTTGTAGCTCCACACCAACCCCCCACCGCTTATGAAATAAGGATCCTTGCCCCAGTTGAGAACCACTGACCCACAGGCTGGGCAAAAAAAATCAATTTGCAAAACAAACTTCAAATTAAACATGCATAGGTTACATTACAATGAAACACTGCCATTGAACAACACACCTTTCATAAAAGCAGCCAAAGCCATCTTATCCATTATCCTCTGTGTCATGTTAGTGACTGGGGTATAGACCACCACTAGATCAGAGTCATTAAATTGATCCACACGTCCCAGAACATGAGGAGGCTGTTCATGAAAACGAATAGCTCTGAAGAATTCCGAAAATATGCACAAAGACAGCCCTAGAAGCAGCGCTTCTGTCCATTCCTCCAGATACAAAAGAAAAATGAGTCAAATTATAATGTCATCCAGGACAGTGAGAAACATTCAAACGCTTCTTAAGACAGAAAGTACTGTCATTGAGCATAGTTTCATTTCACTCTCCCATTTTTTTTCTTTCCCAGTTACCATCCATCCTTTAAAGAAACCACCATTTCAAAAAAAAAAATCAACTCTGACATAGTATCAAATATGTCCATTGATCTTGACCTAAGTAACACAGCACCCCTAACAGTAGGACCGCTATGGGTTATATGCCCTCATACTGATTTTTTATAAGTACACAGCATCACATGAGATATTCTTGTCAAAAGTGTTTAACCTGAAGTTAATCCCATTTTTAGATCTAACTTTCTGTTTACAGGAAACATAGACAGTTAAGGAATGAGTTAAATGACAGAATGAAAAGTGCAGAACATGGATGTTCAACAAGAGAACAGCTTTGGTCTCACTGGTTCCTGGACTGAACAAACCAACCTTGAGACGTGTGGGAAATTTTAGGAAATTGAATTTGAATATGAAATTAGATAACTATATGCAATTATTGCTAACTTTGTAAAGGGTATTAGTGGTTATAAAGGAGAATATGCCCCTAGTTTTTGTAGATGCTAGCTGAAATATTTAGCAGTCAAGTGTCATGTATTTTAAGAGAGGAGTTGAGGGGAGATAGAGATGAAGCAAAAATGACAAGATATTAACTGCTGTCAAATCTGGATTGTGGGTGAATAGGAAAGGACGCGAGTTCACTGGATCACTTTGATTTACTCATTTAAAATGTATTTCATTTTGCGTGGCTTTTTCTTTTTTTCCTAATACTGAAGTTGGCCCAGGGTAAAAATCAGAATGACTCCACAAGATTCAAATGGATTAATTATTTGGAAAATAGCTAGGTTCTCCTCAGAAAAGTGTTAGTTAACTTTGTTTTTCAGAAGCTGAAATATGAGCCATTTAGTTAACTTCACCTTTTTCCATAAATAATATCCTATTCTGCAATATTTTCAAGATATTATATTGAGAACCCCAAATCAACTGGCCTATAGAATTGATGAACATAAAAAAGCAATAAAAATGGCATAATATGAAGGGATGGATTTTCATTCACTAAACATGGAAAAATACATGTTGTGAACCATACCAATAAGCTCTCTTTTTTCATTCTCCATTTTTTAAGAAAATTCTTGTGCAGAAGGGCCTGAGTTTGTTGACACACACTCATCTCTTTTTTAATCATTTTGTCCTGTTCCTTGAGAAAGAAGACAAAGTAAATAGACAGCAATAACCAGATGAGAAAAAGACCCCCCCCACCAAAAAAATCCAGTTACAAAAAAAGCTTCTACACACTTTGAAAACAGTCCCAGATGAACTCACTGAATGCCTAACATTTGACATAAAAACATAGATTCAAAAGGTTTTTCTGCGGATAAAATATTCCTGAAGGTAGAACACAGTGCCAGCTGGCCTTTCTCTGCAGGCGCTATGGTTGTGAACGATGGGGGTTTGGGTGTGGGAGGTCTTCTTCCTTTTGTCTCAAAAGTACATTCTTCTGCCAAATCCTGACATTAAAACAATCCAAAGTAAATCAGTGAATAAGATGTTAGTAATGTTCAGAATCCAAATCACACTTTATACCCTTTACTTAATTTTTTTTAAAAGGTGTAATAGGAATAAAACCATCTCCAGTTTTCTGTCACTCAGAGATTTGACCATAAGCAGTCTATACTTTGAATGGCATGCTTTCACATGCTTATTTGATGACATTAAGGAAACCACTGAGTGAAAGAAAGTTGAGTAACATTTCAGTCATTCCTAGAATCCCAAAGAGCTCATTTCTCCTCTTCAAATTCATGAGTTCCCTTCTAGGAAGTAAGTATGTAAGACACATACAGATGAAAGCCAAAAACATTAGTTAGCTAGTGTGATGGAGTCACTGATGTGTGTAGATCATCCTGATGTGCAGCAGTGATCCTTCTGTGTTTTTAATTTAAAATTCTGAGATGATAATTTGGTATCACAGCTCTGATTATCTAAATTCACTCGAATAAATGATGTTATATACAAATTACAATGTTTGGAGAACTTGCTGGATTCCCTTTTTGGATAAAGGAACAGGTAAAGTTACCAAATACCAAAATAATCTCTAAAATCCAACTTGAGAAAGATTCTAAGTGAAAATACCCATTTTTATGTTATGGCTATAGAGGTCTACGTGGAGAGCTCAGGAAGCAACCCACAGAGACATTTTAAAAGAAAAAGGAAACCACAGGGAGAAGCAACTTGTCCTAATGCCTCCACAGTCCCAAAAAGTAAAATTCTGCAAGTTCTCAAAAGGCCATCAAGGGAAGTGTAAATCTGACACACAAAAATAACAACATTTATACATACCTTGAGTCTATCTTCCATTTGACTATCACACCAAAATACTATGTTTGAGTTTAAAACATTACATCACTCATTAGGTCTATAATATAAAACAATAATTTAGAAATATCAGAACAATACAATAATTTCAACAATGTCAGTCAAGATCCTTGGTACTATGTCTTTTGTGCCTTGATTATCTTATGCAGAGTGAAAGGTAAAAGCAAATTTGACTTACTGTCAGGAAAGTAAGAGTGAAGAACTCAAAAGCACTTTTGATTCACGGTCTCTTTCTGTCCAGAAGAACAGTTAACAATCCTTCAAGGACTTTTCCACAAATGCTTGCCTCTTGTAAATCTGTTTTCATTCAGTTGGTTTCTGAAAACAGGCCATGATGTCTGAGTAAAAAGCCTGCCAAACACATTCTTTTCTTGATAAGTTGTTTTTTTCCCATGTCTTTCTTCTTGTCCAGTTGCTTCACAGGGAGGTTGCAGCTATGGATGGTTGGCTAAGCTTGTCACGTGGTATTTGTTTATTGCTCTCTCTTTCTGGCATATGCAAAAAGTGATCAGAGTCAAAAAAGGAAGAAAGAAAAAAAAAACCCTTGTCCTAAATAAGTCTATATTAACTTTGAATGATTCAATATTCAACAGCCACGCCAAAAAAAAAAAAAAGACAAAAAAGAAGTTGAACAGCGAGAAGGAAAACGAGGGTCTCAAAAATCAGAACAATTTATGAGAAAACTTTACCAAAGACTTAAATGCACTTCAGTTAAAGGGTTCTTTGCACTGATTCCTGTGTGCTAGAAAAGTATGTGAAGGGTTTAAATGAATTATTTCACTGACACTCAAAGCAAACCTATGAAGTTGATACTGTATTTGTACACATTTTACAGATTTGGAAGGTGAGACTTAAAGGTGAAATTATTTGCGGATACTCAAAAAGAGGCAGAGTTAACAGGTTAAGTCCAGAATGGTGTCTGGATTCCAGGCCCCCTCATTCTTAACTGCCACTGTGAAAATTACACTAATAAAAACAATGATACCTAATATCCATTTTAATAGTTTAATAGTTCAAACTAGATGGGCAGAACGCTTTTTTTCTTTAGCTACAAATATTGGACATCCTCAGAATTGTAAACAACCCCTGTTTCTCAACTCTGAAAAATCTCCTTCCATGAATTTTTCAGTAATCATTACTCTTCTTGGGATGTGTACACAAATTAATCACCACACATGAAAATGAAGGACAGAGAGATGGAGAAGCACTCAGACTATTCAAGCTATTACCGTTTTCATTAAGAAGATGAAAATAAACATTTTCTTTGACTTTAATTGCATTCCCTCCCTTGTTGTTAGTCACATTTCTCTTCTTGTTTCCTGGTCATTACTAGAAGTAAAAATCCATGAAGTGGAAACCACCAAATATTTAACCTGGTTCCAATCCCAGACATTAATGATAATATTTAATGGCTGGGAAAAAACCTACTAAGATCGTTATCATAATGCACACATACATTCCTAGTAACTACATCTAAAGGATAATTTGTCTATTTCCATAATTTTAGGGAAATTGTATTGTAACTTCCAATATGGCACAGTAAGGTGGTTACAGGGAAGGGGTCTGAGACCTACATTCCAAACTGTCACTCACTGGCTATGCACCTTGGACAGGTGACATAAAATCCACAGACCTCTGTTCTACATTTATAACAGGGTTGGACCAGGCCTCTGTACATACAAACTGTACAGAGCGGAAGAGGCCAAGATGGCGGAGTAGTAGGACGCTCCTAGCTCACCCTCTCCCACAGATACACCAAGACTCACATCCACGGACCGACTCAGCCAAAAAGAGCACCTGCGGAACTCCGACAGAACACTGCCCTCTTCAAGAGACAAAGATGCCAAAAATCTGGTAGGAGAAAGGAAAAAAAGACGAAAAGGCAAAACAGTGCAGGACCAGTCCCGCGGGGAGGGAGCCGCAAAGGAGGCCTGGCGCTCATTCT